TGCAGTTCTGCTGTTTTCGACTACATGAAATTTCCAAGCTTAATGTTTATTTTTTGCACTTAAGATATTTCATGGCACACATGTCACCTGCAGAGGCAGTTGAAGTGGCATTAATGTTAAGGGGTATTTTATTTCAGATGTACATACCACCGACGAAATGACGATTCTCTAAAAGTCATAAAGCTTTAGTATAAAACTAAAAAACTTTTGTGACGAAATCAGCATTATATAATTTCTCGCATTTTTAATTAAGTAAACTTTGCGATCCGTACTTAAGTACGTACACTGTTATGAGCATGATAAGAGGTCAGCTCCTTATAGACAAGCCATAGCAAGAAGCTGCTCAAATGGTTCACAACGACCTCTGACAAGGCAAGAACTTTTTTATCTCTGAAGAAGGTACCAGACCCAAGAAGCCCGCTTCCTTAATGAAACCTAAAGGCCTTGGTACGAAGGGTTAGGCATTGGAGCTTTAAAATTAATTGATCTTTGTCGGGCCAAGGCCGAGTGATCGCAGTGCAAGTGCAATCGGGGTCCGTTGTGATCAATTAGGTACCGAGAGAGAAGCCTGATTTCATTTCAAGCTTATAGAAAATATTCTCTCAAAGAATAGCCGAAGACCGTGGCCCGACTATGGTCCTCTCTCTAACTTTCGCTAGTACTTACTGCGTTCAGAGTGTACCCACTCAGGAATTATGGCTCTCAAAGGACATGGTTTCGGTACAAACACAATTAAAGATCCTTCGTCAATGACCTCATTGCCGTGGATACCACAGTAGCCTAGTATCCAGCACGGTGTTACCGTATTTTTATAATACAAACCGTGTAAAATAATCTTTAACAAGACAAAAGTCTTTCGTAAGATAATTGTAAATTCTATCAACTATCCTGAAAGCTGTTTAATGTTTTTTGAAAGACTAATTGAAAGATCTGCTAACGAGAAGGTCTCAGCGTTATGCTGTTCGCCTTTTAGCGATAAATTTTTTTTTAATTAAATTAAATTTATTAAAAATTAAAAGATAATAAGAGAGTAAAAATAACGAAAAAATGATTAAAAATATTTTTAAAGCTCAAATTAAATTAAAAAAGTTAATTTTTTTAGCAATGTTATTATGCTTTGTACTATGATTTGTTTCTTAGGAAAAATTAAAACAATGAAATCTGAAAATTGAATTCGAAACAAAAACTAAATCAAAAAAGGATTAAATATTAAAGGAAAATTATATTAGAAAAAGACAAAAAAATAAAATGAGATCCTAAAAATTATATGCAATAAAACATACAATTGTCTTTCTAAAACAAAAAGATGTAAAACCAAAAAGAAAATTAAGTTGAAAAAATAAAAAATAACAGTTTATTAAAAAAAGGAAATTAATAAAATACATTTCTAAAAATTTAATGAAATAAAAATAATATAAATCTTTTTAAACAATAAAATCTTAAAAGAAATATAATATGTTTCTCAAAATTAAATGAAATTAATAAAATATATTTTTTTCTTTTATGACAATGGAATCTAATAACAAAACCATATTAAATTTAAAAAAAATTTTATAAAAAATACGCTGCCTTGCCCTGTAACTAGTGGTGCTCCGATAACAGTACTTGGAATCATATACTCGAGTACCTCTACCAAGTACCGAGTACTTTTTGTACTTCGATACTCGTGTACAAATAATTCATGGGTATCAAGTACAAAGTGCAAGTATTTACTTGTTTGCTAAATTTGGGAAAATCAACTGAAAATAGGTCTGCGTTGTAGTTTTTGAAAAAAACTATTCAAGATATTAACCACTTGATTTTGCTAGGGTTAAAACTAAAAGAGCGCACAAAAGTGGAGAACACAAGTCGTAGCTACGGGCCACAGCTTCTAATCTGTTATTTTCATTATCTAAACGCCTAGTCGATAATTTCTTAGAAAGCGGCAGCGACATCATGAATTTGTATGAATTAAAAAAAAAAAAAATAGAAATAGATCTAATCTGGCCACAACTACAGTCGTCGCGTAGCCCTGTCGTCGTTAAAATAATTATCTACATAAGAATATGTGGAAAAATAATTTGACAGCTGTGGTCCATAGCTCGTCGTTTTCATTGTGTTCGGGCTATAAGGCATGAACTCTTATTTCCCACCAAAAAATCACCTTTCTCCACTGAATGCTGTTCTATTGTAAACGGTCTTGGAACTAAAATGTCTCATCTGAGTACTTTCGAGTACAAGTACTATCGAGTATTCCCTAGCGATACTTTGAGTAGTATCGAGTATATTATTGGATACTTAATGAGTACAGGCATCTGCGAGACGTATGCTTTTTACATTTTTCGAATTCTTTTTCGCGAAATGAAAAATGAAATCGGTGGTTTTTGCCCTTTAAACAAATAATATTTCTAACAGCCGATTTAACCAGCAATTTAAATGGAAAATGATTTTTTATTTTCTGTCAATTTCCATATAAGATTCATAAATTAAAAATTTTGCACTTACATAAATTACTTTCGTGAAATATGCTGTAAATATAAAACATTTATATAGTAAATTAATATTTAAAGAATCCGTATTGGGAAATTTTTTTTCATAAAACTACTATTTTAGCATACTTTTGTTAAATTTTGTTGTCTACACTGCAGGTCACCCAACTTCTCCTCTGTTTGGCTTGCAACACAAAGGGTACTTAGGTTGATTGAATAAAACTGAACCTACATACCCACATACTTAATTTAATTTTATTTATATATATATCATTCCATTCCTTATTGACCTCAACTTCTTCTTCTTCTTTTCATGCAATACAAACATCTGCGACCGACACGTCAGTGACCTGCTGAAGAAGCTATCTGTTAAGGCTGGCTTAATTGGTTGTTTCCGCGGCCTAGTCGTCAACGGTGAAATACTCGACATTTACAGCTATATGTCCGTACATCTGTCGGAGATAATTAAGGATTGCAAACCATCTTGCGTGCCATCACCGTGTAAAAATGGCGCGCAATGTAAGGAACTGTGGAGCACATTCCAGTGTGTGTGCAGCAATCCTTGGGCGCATATTGGCGAGTTTTGCGAGACAAGTAAGCGCTAAAACAAACTTACATATACATGCACTCACTTACATACATAAATACACAAATAACAAAAAATTGCATAACTTTAGCATGCACTTGAAGTATGTATTCAATCTTCTCTCCCCTACTTGCAGATATCAACGAGAAGGCACTTACTTTCATTACACGTGAATCATTTTTGATGCGCAATTACTTAAGTACACCGGCTGCGACGCCACCCTTCTTACCCGCCGCCTACTCCATCTATGGCATCAATGAGGAGCGTGATATTATCAAAGGCATTCTAACCGAGAATATCCTTATCAATTTGCGCACCTACGATACGAATGCTCTCGTTCTCTATGCTAATGATCATTACAACAATTTCGTGCATTTATATGTGAGCGCTGGACGTGAAATAGTTTTCCTCTATAATTATGGTGATGAAATTGTTAATTTAACTATCGTTGATGAAACTGTGAGCAGTTTGAATAGCATTCAAGTGGCCATTGAACGAGAGGAGCATCGCACAACCATGCATGTGAACGAACAGAGCGTGAGTGTGGAGCGAGGCATGATGCTATTGGATGAGTATAGCAATAAGCCATGGATAAATCCAGAGAAAGGTATGTACTAGTTGTTGTGTTCCAAGATTTAATTAGTATGCGTTATATTGAACCTAAAACAACATTTATTTGCATTTTATTCATTATCCTGAAATTATATTGACCATTAATATGACTCTCGCCTTCGACATTTTATATCGAATGATAAACTCGGTCTTTTTAAAGAACTTTTGTGAATTTTTACCTAACCGAGGTAAGAGTATGTTCGTACGTCGTAAAGTCATAAATTTTTCGGCCCTTGTCCTACTTTTCGCAAGGACTTTTCAAATGCAGCCAAGATCTTCTTAGGCTAGCTTCTTAAGTCCAGGCACAAACGACGCAAGTAATTGCCTCTGTCAGGTTTTTGAAGGGAAACCTTCTTTCCCCCGTTCGGATGTAAATGCAAACATCTATTTAACGATGAAGATGAAGATGAAGATGAAGATGAAGATGAAGATGAAGATGAAGATGAAGATGAAGATGAAGATGAAGATGAAGATGAAGATGAAGATGAAGATGAAGATGAAGATGAAGATGAAGAT